TGCACGGATTTATAGAGAATTTATTGCTCTTTCCAATGATAAAATTTGAAAACACCAGTCTTTGAGGGAAACTTATCGTTTTAGGATGCAAGCAACCATGAAAGTTGTAATCAAATTTTCCGAGGTTCCCATTAAAATATGTAGGTAGCTTCAGAAAAACTATGTTACTTTTGTCTACAATATTGCCATATTACAGTGGTTCCCAACCTTTTTTTAATCACGACCCCTTTACAGGCTTGCTCATAAGGTCGCGACCACCCTACTACCAATCAATAGATAAAAAACAAAATTCAATTTTTCAAGTTTTGAAATTCTTGGTTGAGTTTTTGTTAAAGCCAATTTTATGTCATCTTGAATGCCCATTCTATTTTTGGCCTTTGTTCTCATTTGAAAAAAGAGTTGAAAAACCACTTTCACGAAGGTAGTTAGAGGTATATGGTATTAGTATCCAAAAAGAAAGCACAAGCAGGGTGAGATAAAGATATGAACTATGCATGGCACATGGCACATCAAAATTTAGTCAAGAATTTTTCCTGAAATATGGCGCGTGCTGTGGAATCATTCCTCAGCTCTAAAAATTGATCCTGCAATTCATCAGGCACGTCAGCAACATCTAATGGAGGTACAAAAATAACGCCCATTTCATTCTCAAGGCATTGGAGGTGATAATCGATTTTTCTTTTAGATTCTCCACAATTTCTGATGCTTCGGCCATTCTGCATAGCTATCTATATTCAAAAACATGCGACTCACAACACAACACTCACAACCTGCGCAGCTTTTGAGCCCGAGGCTAACGCGTGTTGCCAAATGCAAAAAAATATACAGGGTGTCCCACCCCACGACGTTTTTCCCAGGTAATAACTTCGGAACACGTCATCCAATATAATTGAAATTTCGAGGATCTAAGTAACTTTTTGTGCCGCTTTTACCATTGTCATCCAATTTCATCACCTTCTCTCCAATTTCGGTCGAGTGACGTCAACTTTCGAATCTTAAATGTAACTCCTGGTACCTATATTATTGCAGTTTCCGTTTATATTAATATTGGCATTGCGATTGCGACCCTTCAAAAAACCCCATGCGACCCCATTAGGGGTCCCGACCCACTGGTTGGGAATCGTTGCGATATTATCACGTCTGATCTGAATTTTTAACAAATGCTGGATTTTTTTTCCACCTTCTATTATAGAGCGCATATTGTCATGGAATGTTATTAAGGACATCTTACTCATTTTCAACCAATTACTCCCTTAAACCCAAAAATTTATCAACGACATGAAATATACATATTCATCCACTTTGATTTAAAATGATATTTGAGTATTAAAAACCTAGAATGAAAAACTAATATTCTTCTCACGATTTAAAATATTCCTAAAGTAGTTCCATTGAGGATACAGAGTGTGCGGTTCATAGGCAATTAAAATGGCGCCTTTGAAGACTGATTTAAATATAAAACGCTGCGGTTTTTGGGTTTTGCCTTTTGTCGTCGTCTTTGACCCAGACTATATTAATAGAAACCGATCTACCTGTTACTTAAATCCGTGGTGTGGTACCAACTGCTATAAAATGCCAAGGCTGAAAAGGAATCTTCTTTTGTAATATTGCCATCAAATTTTTATTTATGCATTAAAGCATGACTCTAATAAAAGTCGTTATTGGGTTAGTCGTTAGAGTGAAGGCCTGGCTAAGGTTAAAAAAGTCAATTGGGATAAATTAATGTAAACTGTTCCAAAGAAAATAAGACGTTTAAGGTTTTGTATAATATAATCTCCCAGGAAACATTCTTAAAAATCTTACTTTTGCTACATTTTAAGTCACCCACAAGATATTTGAGAGGGGCAACCGTTATTATTAATAAAAGTGTCATGCGATAATATAAATCTTAAAGTTATTGATGCAGGTCACTTAAATCCTGCCCAAGTTTCGTTCTCAAATATCGCCGACGTTTTTTCGACAAAAGCATTTCTCGGAAGGCACCTCAAGATCGGGTTTTCGAAGCTTCTTTTTGGGACTCGTATAATTATGACTGTCTCAGGAGAAATACTGGAGCTGAAATATCTTTTAAAAGGCGAACCTCTCTGAATAGTCTGTGCACGAAAATTTATTTTATTAATTATTATTAAATATCGTCCTTTTGTTAATAGAAAATTAAAATTATCGTATTTCGAGTCTTTAGCTTAACTAACACGGAACATAAATGGTTAGTACCAGCAGTACCCGGAGTAGACCTTGCGGTCTAATATTGGTTCATTGACTCGAAGATGTCGTGTAGTTTTGAATGGAGGTGATTGTCCGTCCCCTTTTTAGCAAAACTTGGTGTTTGTGCATACACCTGTAAGAATATTCAGTAGCGGGTTTCGAATTTTTCTGGCAATTTTGAAGAAAAATAGATATCTTAACTCATTTTAGTACCTAATCTTGAGACACTTCTTGCTGAGTAATCTTGTTTAAAACGCATACCCGGACATCTACACTAACACCGCAGTTTTAAGAATGTACTTATTTAGGTTCCAATTAGATTTTTTAATAGTGTCCAGAGATTTTTGTTCGTATGGGTAATCATTATATGATTTTATTCAGACTTGTTTTTGAGTCCAATTTAGCTCTTGAGCTGCTATTGCTTGGCGGAACAAACAATTTCGTTTGCTGAATGTGTTGCAAAGTTTTACGTTAAATAAAAAAAATGTCAAGATCTGTACCACAATAAAACCCTACTTGAATAAAAGCAATGCATATTAGTTTGGAGATCTATAAATACCTAGTAAATTTCACAAGTACCCATGTACAACTAAAAAATGATATTTGAGAAAATGGCCCACAACTATACATCATTGTGGAAAGAGTATCAAATTCTCTATCAATCGTGCAAAACTGGTTAGGTAACGTAACTTTGTAGAGTTTTTGAGGTATTGAGTTTCAAACAGGGTCGGCGCAACCATTAGGCGAACTAGGCGGCCGCCTAGGGCGGCAAACCCTAAGGGGCAGCAAAAAGGCAACAAAAAAAAAAAAAATCTTTTGAATTCTGCTTTTCTTCATAATATTCAGGATTTCATTTCTCTTGCAAACCCAAACACAAACTTTGCCCTTTGCCCTTCTTATGAGCACATACTGCTATACCTGTTTTTGCTAGTCGCTAGGTGTAGGGCGGCCAAAAACTACTTATTTTATGTTATGAATATTTTTGGCACAAAATTAATGTTTTGGGCTTGACACCAGGACAGGATTTTTTCGCCTCCGCCGGCGCCTGCGACGGGCATGTGTATATATATATTTTTTATGTAGATATTCTATAATCTATATTCTGTTAGTCAGGTATACCTATAGGCCGAGTCCGAAATAAGTGCACATTTTGTTATGATAGATAGAGTATAGTAGGACGATCACTTTTTGCATAGGTACATGTGTCCGCAAACCTCTCGTTGAGCAAATACAGGGTGTTGAAATTTTCTAAAAATTTTGACTTTTTGTCTTTAGATTCAAAATGTCTTGAGCGATTTAGTTCAAATTTACAGAGAGTGTTTGCAATGTTCTCAAGCATCTTTCTGAAAAATCCGTTTGAGTTTCACTTTTCCAGGACCGGATGTAGAGCGACTCTGGGCTTTTTGAAAAATTTAAAATTATTTTTTAATTCCTTGTTTAATTTTAAACAAAAAAGGTAACCCGAGCTTTTCTTGTTCGATGCGACGTTTACGAGATAAAAAATTAAAATAAATGTATTGTTTGGAAAATCTCGTTGGTATATCGAAACCTACCTACCCCACTCTGTTCACATGACATCGGAAACTAAACAATGAAGTTAAAAAAGTTTATGTCATATTATCGCAAACACTCTCTGAAAATTTGAACAAAATCACAAAATCGCTGAAGGCATTTTGAATCTAAAGGCAAATAGTCAAAATTTTCCGAAAATGACAACACTGTATTTTCTTAACGAGAAGTTCGCGGACACATGTTCCTATACAAAAAGTTATTGTCCTACTATACTCTATCTATCATAACAAAATGCGCACTTATTTCGGACTCACCCTGTATATTATGTACAATTATTAATAAAACTATAAAACAAGTTTTCAAAAAAAGCCATGCATATGTGTATTTTTATTTGATGGGGGCGGCAGAGAGTACATTTGCCTAGGGCTCCAAAGTCGCTTGCGCCGACCCTGGTTTCAAACGAGAAATTTATTCGACACTCCAAAAGTAGTTAAACAAAGCGAGTTTTGCGATATAACGTTATCGTAATGGTAATAGCGTTGGCGTTAGCGTACGTTAAGTGTGCTATCTGACTGTGGGCTTGGGTGGTAGGTAGTACAGGTGTTAATGGCGGCTTCATGTGTCACTATCTAACAGCTAGCAGCCAAAGCTGATAGTCTGTCTGTCAGTAATAACGGGGTACCTGAGCCTGAGAATTTTTTCGATACCGTGGGAAAATTTCTAGATCGGTGGTGCCTTTGATCTGAAATTTCGGGAGTTTGACCTTAACGTACGCTAACGCTATTACCATTACGATAATGTTATATCGCAGAACCCGCTTTGTTTAACTACTTTCAAAACTTCACACTCTAGCGATTTCAGCTAAATACCATTTTGAAGCGTTTATTGAGAGCTACAATTCCTGAAAATTTTGTACGAGTACCGCGAGATATTCATAGGTTTGAAGATTTGTAGATAAAAATCCAAAGGGGGTAGGTACCTACCCTTAGAAAAACGTACAAATTTGATTTTTTTAATCGATAGAGCAAACTCAAATTAGAAACAACTAAATCACAACTCACTATCTTACCAGTTTGTCTTACTATCGCCTCTCCATTCAATGTTGCAAGATTTTGTACAATTTCTTTACACTGAATGATTTGATCAAAATTCCAACTAGCTATAAATTGTTTATTCAATGTTGGCCTAAGAACAAATAAAAAGTCTGTGTGAGCTGCATTAAATAAACTTTATACAATTATTTGTGACTAGATTTTCAATTAAAAAAATGTTCTCTTTTCTAGTTATCTGACGAAGTTGTCCGCAAAAAAACCGAATACCAAAAATACTTAGAGCAATACAAACTGATGAGATGTAAATTTGAGGAAATCTACATCAAAGGTGAGTTTTCGTGTGAACAGTGACAACGCCTATACGCCCTTGATATATCCAAAATAGAATTTGGCAAAAACTTCAAGAAGGCTAGAAATCGAATGAAATGAATCAGTTTGAAGTTTGCCATCAAACATCTTACTACTACAAAATTAATGTATTATTGTTAAAACCCCAAATTTATTTTTAGGTAAGCAAATTTAGATTGTGAGATTATAATGTGCTGCCATAAAATTAAGTAAACAATTATCATGTTTTGTTCCAATTCAAATAGTTGTAAACTACCCACCCATGTAAATTTTTCTTTATTATTTTTAGCCTATTGCATTATACTAAATCAAAATCCCCAAAATGTATTTTTATAAAAAAAACCTGTGTCCAATATCCATTTAAAAATAGTTAAAAATTTAATTTAGGTGGCAAAGGAGGACGTAAACTAGACGAAGTCAGAGACAAATATCAAAAAGCCTGCAGGAAACTTCATCTGACTCACAACGAGTATGTGCTACTTTTATGCGAAGCTGTGGAATTTGAAAAAGATTTCAGAACGGTTTTGTTGCCTGGATTATTAGAACATCAGCAATCCTTACAAGAGGCTTTTATTTTGACTTGGTAAAGCGTTTTCAAATAAATTCAAAACGCACATTTTAATTTTTGTGAATTTTTAGGAAGCAAATCCTGCAAGACATTGCACGAAATTTGGATTTAACTTCGGATAAATTTAGAGAGAATCAGCGCAGAGTTGAATTGAGTATAGATTCTATTAGGCCTATAGAAGAATATAAGGATTTTACTGAAAAATATAAGTGAGTTTATTTATTTGATTCAAATACATTATTGCACTAATTCACTATGATTTGCAGGACAACTCCTGCTGAACCAGTAAAATTCATATTTGACGAAAGCTTAGTTGAAGAATCAGCTGGCAAACTCTTGCCCAATCAACTAACTGTAGATAATTTGACTGTCGAATGGCTCAGGAACAAATTGACTGAATTAGAAGCTAGCATCAAAGAGAATCAAGAAAAGAAAACTGTGCTCACTAACGGACACAACAGTGATAGTTTAGTAAATGGCAAGAGCAATAATGAAATAAATAACAGGTAAAATGTTCAATTAGTAAATTGGCTCAAATATTTAAGTTTGTTTGTTAAGGTTGTCATTGAACTTTGAAGTGTCCAAAAAGGAACTTAACGAACTAAAATGTCAGGAAAGAAAAATGCTAAAACAAATCGAACTGATTAAGACAGCTCTAAACGAACTAGGATGTGAAGAAGTACCATCCGGGTGCGACATATCAATAGAAAGTCAGCCAGCTTTTATAGAAAATTCCACTGAACAGGTACGTACTCTTCTCGCAATTCTCATGGTGTTGGGTGAATAACCAAAAAATAAAAAAAAATCTAACCACTTTATAGGGTAATGGGTCTCAAAGTACACTATTAAATCTAGCTAATCCGCAACGGTTAGTGAACATGTTGAGAAAACCGTTTAGACGAAGAAGTGCGCCATCGTCACCTGTTGCGCCTCCTAGAACTAAGGGCCGTAGAGAATCTGCGCCTAGGAGTGAAGGCGGGGATCCTGTAGGTCGAAATGTGACTTTTGTGCATGATTTGATTTTTCTAAATAATGCACAGCTTTCTGCTGCTATTGTGTCACCTGTTAGCTTATGGTAACTCTAACTAAAGGCTAGACTATTTTTCCTTAGGTTTTTGCATAGGGTGTTCCAATGAAGACTGAACTTCCCCGTAATTCTGAGTAAATTACATTACATGCTTTGCATTTTCTGTGATTTCAACTTACCCAAGGCCCACTTGAGTAGTGACAGTCTCAGTTCTGCAGCTGCTCAGTTTTCCTTGACCTCAGAGCGTGAAGCCACTGAATGTTTATCCAATATGAGTGCTTAGCACAACCTGTTCCAGATAAATGCATTCTCTAATGCTCGTAGCATTCATTTTTCTTGATCTGGTTTTCACCCAGGAGCCCAAGGATACTTGTCACTTAGCTAATTACATTATCCTCCCCATTGATGCATATCATCTTGCTCTTCTTTGTGTCATTTGCAATAGGTCATCTCACTGTAATGCTGACGTCCCCCAGCCTGACGCGTACTTTGGATTTTGGATCTGCTGATTACACACTTCCTCAAAGATAACCTTGGGATGGTTCGCTGGGATGTCTTATTATCTCGGGGTTTCGATGTGAAGGAAATGACCAGAGTTTTCTATGATGTTCTCTGATAGTTCTCCCTTGGACTAAGGGACCTAATAATTAAGAAGAAAAGTGCCCAAAGAACTTGCAAGCAGATGGGTTCCCCTGCTGACTATGTTGAATTTTCACACCTTCGGGCTCAGTGTCAAGACTTTTCCCAAAGATTGCTATACAAATTATGTCATATCCTCAGAGGTGTCATTGCTTTGGGATAAAAATCCTGAACATTTCTGAAACTTTGTCAATGCTAGACAACAGACTTATGGACTTCCTTCTTACATGTTTTATGACGGTAAGCATGTGTTTATGGCCACAGCATTTCCGATAGTAACATTCACATTCATGACTTTGAAATCTTCATGTCAGTTATTTATGACGAACTGTGTAAGCTGCAAATCTTTTGTGGACCTGGTCTGGATGTCATCCCCCCTCTGATGCTCAGCCAGATGTAGCTTTATATATACTATCTTGTCCTCTGTTTATTTTGTTCAATGAATCACTTAGTAGTGGGGCATTTCCTGAGATTTGGAAGCGGAGTTTTATCACGCCCATCCATAAGAACGGTGACAAAATGGACATTACCAAATACAGAACTATCAATATACTTAATACTATCCCTAAGTTCTTTGAGAATATAGTACCTAAATTCTTATCTCTTATGATCAACCCTTGCCTAATCGATTAGCAAGCAGGTTTCCGGCCAAAGTGCTCAACCAACACTAACCTCCTGACGTTCCTAACGCACCAGGATAAAATCTCAGGGATTCTTGAAAGCCTCTTCGATTGTGTCAACCACAACGTCCTACTTGCAAGGCTTGAGAGAATTGGAATATCTGGTACTCTGCTTGCGTGGATCAGCGATTACTTTAGGAACAGAATCCAAACAGTCAAGATAATCAACTTCTGCTCACAGCCCATTCACATCCCTTCAGGTGTTCCACAAGAATCTTACCTGGGACCCCTGCTATTCAATATTTTCATAAACGATATTAGTTCTCGTTTCATCAATAGTGAGTTTCTGTGTTTTGCTGATGATTTGAAGATATTTGCCCGAGTCTCCTCCCAGGAAGACTGAGCCAGATTACAATCTGACTTGGATAGACTTTCCGAATGGTGTGTCACAAGTGGCGTGGAACTCAATGCCGGTAAATGTAAAACTATCGTTTTCTCCAAAAGTTAAAGCCCCATACAATTTGTAACAGTGTCCCAATAATGTGATCTCGGTGTCATTTTTGATAACACGTTAAGCTTCTCCAGCCACATTTAGGATATCGCTACCAGGTCTCTAAAACTGCTAGGTTTTGTTAAAAGATGTTCAAAGAATTTCACTAAAATCTCTTCTATCAGGCTTCTCTACTGCACAATGATATAAGGCCCATCCTGGAGTACTGCTCCTCGGTTTGGTCACTGATGATGACCTCTACCGACGCTTCAACCTGCAACCCTTAGCCGCCAGAAGAAATCAATGTCATTTATTAACATTTTTAAAAATACCAAACTTGCACAACGATTCCATGTAGGTACTTATCCAGAATTGTACTTCATATCCCAGCAAGAATCACACGCTCTTCCATTTCAATCTCAGAAAAGATCCACCAGACTAACTATTCCAGTGTTGTCAACTAACTTGTTATCTAAAGGTCTAATTATTGTATATAGATGTTCTGTATGCTATTATGGGATTTCCCGTCAATAAATTAATAAATAAAAATACAGGCAAGGTCTTCAATAAGCCTTTGTTCAGTTCTTGTTGGAATACCCTGTACAAAAGAAAGAAAAATAGACCATATAGCTACAAATCTATGCATGGATGTTATGATTTGATTTGAAAGCAATATTCCTATGTTTTTGTTTTTAAATATTGTTCATTTTTGCATGCCGCACTCTTTTGCTCCAATTTGCCAGTGACACTGACAATTTTATTGTCTACTTCAGGTAGCTCTCACCACCAACAAATCGCTAGTAGACGAAGAATGGTTTCATGGTGTTTTACCTCGTGAAGAAGTTGTCAGACTGTTAACTGTAGATGGGGATTTCTTGGTGCGAGAAACTACACGAAACGACGAATGCCAAACTGTATTGTCAGTGTGTTGGGGTGGTCATAAGCATTTCATTGTGCAAACCACAGTAGAGGTAAATACCCCAAAATTTATAAAAACATGTTGAAACATCATACTTTTTTATAGGGAAGTTATAGATTTGAAGGTCCAGCCTGTCCAACGATAAGAGAACTAATAATTTATCAATTCAATAGCGGTTTACCAGTTACACAACGATCAGGTGCCATATTACACAAACCTATACCCAGAGAACGATGGGAATTAAATAATGATGATGTAGTTTTATTAGATAAAATCGGACGAGTAAATATATTGAAATTATTACATAACTATAAATCTGTATATACATATAATTTTAGGGCAATTTTGGTGATGTTTACAGAGCTCAACTTAAAAACAGCCAAGAAATTGTAGCAGTGAAAACTTGCCGAGTAACTTTACCTGAAGAGCACAAAAAGAAATTTTTACAAGAAGGCAGAATCTTGAAGCAATACGATCATCCTAATATAGTGAAACTAATAGGAATATGTGTCCAAAAACAACCAATAATGATTGTAATGGAACTAGTACCAGGAGGTTCTTTATTGACATTTTTACGTAAAAAATCAGCTTCATTGGCCGAAGGCCAATTAATGACAATGTGCTTGGATGCAGCTGCGGGTATGAGATATTTGGAATCCAAAAATTGCATTCACAGAGATTTAGCGGCAAGGAATTGTTTAGTAGGCAAGAATTTAATAACTTATATTTAATAGAATTTTATAATGAAATTATTTTCATTAGGTTACAACAATAACGTAAAAATATCAGATTTTGGAATGTCTAGAGAAGAAGAAGAATATATAGTGTCCGATGGCATGAAACAAATTCCAATAAAGTGGACAGCTCCTGAAGCCCTCAATTTTGGCAAATACACTTCATTATGCGACGTTTGGAGTTACGGTATTCTTTGCTGGGAAATTTTCTCTAGAGGTGGCACTCCATATGAGGGCATGAACAATACAAAAGCACGCGAGAAAATTGACAGCGGTTATAGGATGCCAGCATCGGAAAACACACCAGATGAAATGTACCGTCTAATGCTGAGATGTTGGGAATATAAGCCTGAAAATCGACCCAATTTTGAGCAAGTTTATTCAGTAGTTGAGACGCTTTGTAATGCATACCGTGCCACGTTCTGTTAAGCTTGAAAAGGAACATCAGTAATATCTCTACAATCTGTGATTTAGTTTGTCCATATTATTTGTTATTGTGTGTTTTGTATACTTACTTTTTAGATTTAAAGTGAAAGAGCAGCTCGTATAATCCATCTTGAGACAAAAAAATTGATTATTTAAAAATATATTATATGATTCATAATAGGTTTGGTGGCATGTTAACCCAAACTGTAAAGGGTTTGTGATTATTTGAAGCCATCACTAAAAAAGGAGTGTTATTTATTTATTAATCATTAACACATCATTTTATTATATATTTTTTTGTCCTTATTTTTATATCTTCAACTGGTTTTTCTTTGCATTTAATTTTAATATTTTTTTACTACGAAATATTTTATCTCGCATGTGTCTTGAATGAATGTTTTGTCCAGTTGCTGTGATTTGGTAAATATTTTATGCCATACATAAGTTGATTATAATAAAGTTCATGAAAAAAAAAACATATTTATAAATAAAGTTTTATTAATTCGTCACTGACTGCTGACGGAGTTAAAATTCCTATATCTGTAAAAAGTAAAGTAATATAAGATGGAGGGGTATAGTCTACTAAGGGATGAGCCTCTCTGATATTTTCATTTTTCCTAACATCAGAAGTATACTAAAATAGTAAATTTTTTAAAAACTAAAAACGGTTTTTGCATAAATCAAATTTACCTTATATTCAGCTGGCAAATCTTGCAGATTCAAAGGAAACAGCCTAGAAAACTTAAAACTTTCTGTTAAAACATAAAATGGCTTTTTCATTTCTTTTGCACAAACTGCCGTTGTGTAGCTTCCAACCTAGAAATATACTTATTCATAAAAATATAAAACAACAAATCAATTTAAAACCTTATTGACAATCCCACCACTTTCCATAACACCTTCAGCTCCAACCATAATAAAATCAATTTGTTCCATTACGTAACCTATAGCAGAATCCAAAATAAGGGTGCACGGTATTCCTATGGCTAGTAATTCTTTGTGCAAATGTTTTCTAAAAAAATTTACAAAGTATTATTTGTTGTTTAGAGTATGTATATCAAAAATTTACCCGCTATAGTCTGGAGCAGACACTGTGGTAAAAACTTCAAATCTTTTGCCTTGTTTATGGGCCTGGTGTAATGTTTGCAGTACTACTCTGGATCTTGAATGAGTTAGGACTTTCTAAAATAGGCATTAGTTAACTAGTGACTATTATTGCATAGAAATACTTACTGATCCATCTAAAATAAATTTTGAAGCAAACTTTACAATTTTCCCTCTGGCTTCATCTAGTTTTCTTAGAAACAGATTTCCACGTTCCAACATGATTTTTTTGCATTCGGTAAAGCTCTAAAAAGGCAATTAACTTCTTTATAAAAACTTTGATTCTCAATATTTGAACGTACTCCTCCATCTAGACCTACTAGAGTTATGAATCTCAGAAACAATTCACATCCAGAAGTTATCACTGCCACAGGGAAATTGGCATTTTTCATGTTGTAGATGGCATCTTTCAGATTGGCTTCTAGTTCTTGGACAGTCTCAGCTTGAAAGGATAATTTCTGTTGTATTAAACTTAAAAACCAATCCCATAACAGGCAGTTAAAAGTAAAATTTAAACAGAACCCGGCCCCCAATTCTTGAAATATCTCGGCAAGAATATTCAAGAATTGACCCCCAAATAGGTATATGATCAGCAGGCAAAGTACCACTTTTCGGTACTAGTGCAGAAAAGTACTTTTCCGCATCAAAATTGGCATGTATAGGTACAAATAATAACTTTCATTCCTAGCTCATGCGGCGGACAGTCTATTTTCATCAGTTGATTGTTTCAATCGCGAGCAGAAAGGTTGCACTTTCTGCACTAGTTAGGAAAGACACTATATTTTGAAGCGTGTACATATGTATATTAATTCATTACTTACATTCAGATTGTCTAATGACTTCCATAAGGGTTCTAATAGCAGCAACTCCTGCAGAAACATCTGCTTCTTCTCTCACGATTTTTCGGAAATACTCTCGAACCTCTGGGAGCAAAACGTTGGATACATTTTTAAATAATTTTGTAGGGTTTAAACACTTACCTACGCCTTCCATTTAATTTAAAATTTCAAATGTGTTAAAAATAAATACAAAACAAAAAACAAGTAGGCCAACCAAGAGGTTGGTTGACAATTTGACATAACCTGAAAGAGATTTTGGCATTTCCTCCCTGGGGCAAAATGAACGTGAAGTTAGAAAGAGATTTTTGTGACGTGTTCAGGGCTACTTTTAGAAATGGCACTTTGCTCTGGGTGTGAGCGTGACCCTAGAGTAACTCTAAACCGGTGCTTACTCGGAGCGTTATGCTGAAATCGTTTAGAAATAGAGAGTTGACGTGCCCAGAGAGCGCCCAAATTACCCCACTAGGGACTGGGTTGAAAAACGCCCCGCAGTTTTTACCGGGTTTGACGTTGACATTTAGGGCAACACCTCAATTACGTTCAGAAAATGCGCATCCAGCCAGAGTGCACTCCAAATGATGACGTCAGAACACTTTGACAAACAACTACTCTATACCTTCACACTCCATTTTTCAACGCACTCCTGTTCTAAATCACTCGTACGGATTGAACACGAAAACCGGTTCTGAAATCCTGGCCGTTCTCCGTTTCGATTGTCGTTCGGTTCTTTGTTCTGTTTGTTGTTCGACGCAATGTTTAAAGTTGCGTTTGTTTATTTATCTGTGCGCACCGTGCGCTCGAAATTGTTTGTTTATTCTCTTCGGAGCTTTCCGACTTTATGCTTGGTTTACCCGATGATCAGCTGACCTCTGCTCAAGCTCCACATGCTCAGCATTCCGAGCGATAAACGAAGGCAGCTTCTGTGTTGTTACGGGATGATTTTTCCTGGGTTAAAATGAAAGGAAATAAGCGTATTCGCCTCAATGAATAGCATACCTTCGTCAAGCCACTGTTGACTTTTCAATAGTTGTGGCCAAACTTTTCATCAAACTTTTCATTCTTCCCAGAATCATTAAGTTAGAGGTTTATTAATGGAATTGATTTCCTGTTAGTAGGGTTAAAATAAATAGACAATTAATTTATTAACAAACAAAATCACAATATTTACACTAGAACAGCTGATTGTCTGATCCGAGTAGATTGTCTAGATTGACAGCGCTCCAAATAGAGTCAATGACCGGTACTAACTTAATTTGAATTAAAGTGAGCTTATTTATTAATTAATATTTCAGGTTATTGCTGTTGATTGTTATTACTCTTTTTTTTTTATTTAGGGACTCAAGTTGAGTGTAATTAATAATTATTATAAATACTATTGTAAGAACATATGGTTAGACGATTTCTTTTCTTGTTCTGGTCTGGTTCCCGTGTAAATAATTGACAGTGTTCTAGGGCGGTCGGAAAACCCACTCCGAACCTGCTCTGGAGTCAAACCTATTCTGTTCGGATTCTAATTAAAGACCCGTACCTGATTGTAGCAAAGCGTTTCACTTTTGTCCTTCTTTCTTGTTTACGTTTATATTTCAGGTTGTGCTGCTATGGGTCCCTAGAAGTTTCCTGCTTTCGTTATATCGGTTGATTTCGTGTACTGCAGCGAAAAAGCAGGTGGCGCTCTATATTTAGTTAATTAATTTTCCCACACCCCTCTCCGCATTGGAAGCTAGTCGGCAATCCTTTACACGAAATCACGTTTCTAGATTTCAGCCACCAACCAACCCTCTCTCTTTTTTTCTCTTTCTATATTTTTTTTTGTCTTAGTTACCCGTTCACTTCAGTCACTCCCTCAAAGTTCGTTATTTACTTCTCCCTCGCGTTTTGCGGGTAACAAAGTGGCAGTGTCCGTTTGCCACGTAACAGTACGAATGAAGTTTAAGAACGCGGCAGCTTTTAACATTTTCGGCTTTACTATTACTAGTCAGAGCGCTCTCCATCTAAGCGGTGACGTCACAGATCTCTGCTCGAGTGATTTTTTTTACCGATAAATATACAAGGTGATTCAAAAGTAAGCGGCATCCTTTCGGGGGCGTATTCCTTGCATAAAAACGAGACAAAAAGTTCCTATTAACATAGGTCCGGAAACGCTTCTTAAAGGGAGCTACGCCCTTCGTATAGGACACTGGGCTGCGTTCAAAAACGGCTAAAGCCAAGCCAAAATTGGCATATTGCGTTCAAGTTCGGCTCCAGCGTGCCAAAAACGGTTGGCTTTACACGTTCAGAATCGGCCGCGGTAAAGTAACTTTTGGAGGTGCTTTTAACTGAGTCTAGAAATGGTTATACGAATTTTGATTGGATGAGACCAAATTCAATATGGCGTGGCGGCCAGCAAGTTAGTTTTGAATATGTGTTTTCATGCATATTTCAATTATTTTGCTTCGACTTTTGCACTTTGATTACTCAATAAAATATAATATGTAGGTACGTAAACTATTGAGTTTGGCAGAAACTAGATATTTTTTGTGTTTTTTCGTCCATGTCACGCCATCTTGAATGTCACGTGGTTTGGATTGCCTAATTGAGAAACGGTATTTGGCGTTCCAGCAAATTCACACCAGATTTGGCATTGCCGGTAGAAAGGGAAAAGTAGGTTTTGGCATTAGCATTGCCGTCTTTGAACGCACTCCTGGAAAGACGTGTTTTTCTGTATAACTTTGAAACCCTTCACACAAATGGATTTTGAAAATTGGTGTATTTTATAAACATTTGATGGCAATTAAGATACTAAATTGAAAATTCAAAAATCTTAGGGCGGGTATTATAAAACTGCTTTGACAGTTAACTTGAAGTTAACTTTTTGAATTACATGTAATTCCAGAAGTTAACTTTAAGTTAACTCTCAAAGTAGTTTTATAATATCCGCCCTTAATCAGTGCCACATACTGGGGAGGGTGAAAACATACCTATTTTTTTTTTACTCGTCAGGTTTTTGCGAAACATACGCAAATCAAAAAAATTTCAAAGTCAATTTTCTCATAAGCGGTACGCTGTATCGAATTAAACCAAGAGTACCTTTTCTGTGTAAAAAACTGTAAACTTTCTGAATTTTCAATCAGAATCGCAAAAACCTGACGAGTAAAAAAAATAGGGATGTTTTAACTCTCACCCTCCCCAGTATGTGATGCCACCAATGCCACTGATTAAAATTTTTGAACTTTCAATTTAGGGCGAATTCTCATGAGCGTTAGTTGACATTTCTGGCGTAATCACGTGATATGAGTTATATTCCTTTCACACCTAGGAGCTCCGGAACAGGTCCGGGGCTTCACGCGCTTATTCCTTTCGAAAAGTGTTTGTTGCACCACGCATCTGTTCCCTGCAAATCGGGGGCGACTAAGCACCGGCGCGAGTAGCTCGAGTGTTTCAAGCTCTTGAAAGGAATATAACTAATATGGTGTAATTTGATTGGTGAAATCTCCAACGTGTCAAATATTTTTCCAATAAAACCCAACCATTGTAGCATATGATTACGCCAGAAATGTCAACTTACGCTCATGAGAATTCGCCCTTAGTATCTCAATTGCCATCAAATGTTTATAAAATACACCAATTTTCAAAATCCATTTGGGAAGGGTTTCAAAGTAATAGAGAAAAATACGTCTTTCAGGTGTCCTATTCGAAGGGGCGTAACTCCCTAGGAAGCATTTCCGGACCCATGTTGATAGGAACTTTTTGTCTTATTTTTATGCAAGGAATACGCCCCCGAAAGGATGCCGCTTACTTATGAATCACCCTGTATATAGGAATTATATGATAATAACGCTTCTTTGTTCTATCGAATTCGACAGAGCAAGATCGAGCACTCCGTGCGAGATTTGAGAACGTTCTATTTTCTATGCAAGTCGAACACGTGAAGCTCGCTGAGAGCAACACTCCGTTTTATTCCGAGAATGTGGATTCGTTTCGGATCGCTTTCTGTTCAATCGGGAGCGGTTTTTGAGGCAGAAGTCGAAAGCGCTATTTATTTATTTTTTACATAAGAGAATAACCTAACCTCAAAATTTTGTTCTACTTTAAAAACTCAACTAAAATGTTTAAACATTTGTGAATTTCCAAATAAATTGAAACAAAAATGGGCCTGTTAGTGGGTTGGAAATACGCAGCCTTTATCGGAGTCATGGTAAGCGCTATTGGCTTAGCTGCTTTCCCAGTTATAATCGATCCGATGATAAACACTGACAAATGGAGTAGGTGATTTTTGTATGTTATTTTACTTTTCTCTTTATTCAAAACTGATTTACAGAAAAAATTCAAGAAGAAACACGTAGGAATGTTAGACAAGAAGAGATACAACCTGGAAGTAAGTAGTCAAGTCTACTTGAATACATTCAAAACCTGAAAAATTTACTAATTTTCAGATATGAAAGTATGGACCGATCCGTTTGAGCGAAAAAAAGAACCAGCTAATACCAAATAGCTAATAGCCATCTAGAAATAATTTAGTCTATTTATATAATAAACTTGTTATCAAAACTCTGGTTTTTTAAGGTAATTAATACCAAAATCTTCTGTACCAAACGATAGACCTTAGGTCCAATATATTTCAAAACAAAAACATATATTTAGGTAAACAAATCAATATTCTTAAGAGGCTAATAATATCTAAAAACTATCATCATCATTATCCACATCTAAAAATACATCGAAAGCCTCACCATGGCAAATGCCTTCAGCACTGAAAGCATATTTGTGGAAAGTACCATCCAAACACAAAGCTGCAAAAAATAATCCATTAAAAAAAATTACCACCAATTTCAGAAACTTGTACCATAAATAGAATTGTTTGGTCCAAAAACGCATACACAAGCGCATTCAGCCGATACAGTAAAATTAGCCAAGGCCCATTGAGAATCTCCATATGTACCTAAAGTACCCCTAATAGCAGTGGGCAATCTAAAATATCAAAATTAAAACATTACACAATAAACTAAAATATTCACATACGCTGACATCCTCCTATTCAAATTTGTATCCTTAATGGCAAATATATGCACAGTTCCCTTGTCACTTGAGCAACACAAAAAGTCAGAATCAGCACTAAAGTTGATACTAAAATTATTACTGTTTGATGACTTTCCAAAAAAAAATACTTGAATGTTTTATTTGTACCAGTGAATAGAAGCAGGATCAGTACCGCGCCTCAATTCCACCAACTTGTTTTTACTGCAAGTGTCCCAAACTCTAATTAAAGTTCCATGCTCTGAAGCTGTAGCTACTCTAGTGCCTTGCTGGTTCAAGGCAATACAAGATAATTCGTTTTTGTGGGCTTGTATGTAAGAGGGAGCACTAGAATAATTGTGTTCTGTGCTAGATAAATCCTTAAACCAATAACTTGATATAAAAATGGTAAATATCGGTAAAAATACTTACCACAATTTGTACAGTGCCTAATTTATGTCCTGGAAAAACTAATACTTGTTTATGGGAGCTTTGCAAGGGGCTTACTTCACATAAACCTTTTGGATTGATTCTGGTTTCAATTGAAAATAATTCTCTTGTTGGTTGTATGAATGCAAATACATGTATTCTGTTTCTTAGGACAACTATGAGCCTGTAAGATAATCAACAATATAAATTAGAAAGAAGACTTTTCCATTTCAACTCACTTGTCTCTTCTTAATCTAACAGCCTTGACAGCAGATGCAAATTTGATTTCCATAACAGCCATTTTTTGTGCGTCATCGTAGATGTGTAAAACATTTTCAGGGATTTTGGGTCTGGATCCTCCGGGAATTACGGCTAAAAGATTGGTCCTGAATAGCATTTCGCATGTAGATACGCTTCCTACTGCTTCCATGTCATAGTGAGCTTTTTCCACTAGGGGTTCTAAATTGTATACGCGGACTCCGCTTTCCATACTGACTGTGAAACATCCTATAATAAAGAAAGGTAATTTTTTTCTACAAAGCAGTAACAGGTAACTTGATAACAAAAGATTCAAAATAGGTTTTTTATCTAGATAATTAATAGTCTCGTTGACAATGCTTATACATTATAGACAAAATAATCAATCATCGAAATCCTTAGTGAAATTAAAATTATATTTATTATAAGGGGTGTTTTACCCACTGAATTTTGTACACCCACTGTATTTGACTGCATTGATTTTTGAGCAATTTTCAACAAGATTGCAGGCTCCATTTGAAGCGACTGGTCACGATTTTTCGCGAGTATACATGGAATGTACGCTACTGCATGTGACTGCACCTCGGCCTGCACAGTGTTTATAGCAATTGCAAGCGACTGTATTATGACTGCACGAGTTCATGTATTCCATTGACTGCATGAGAATGTATGGACTGCAGATGAATGTATGATATTTGTACACCTACTGTACGAGTGAAACACCTCTCGATTTATTATTAATAAAATAAAAACATTCTCACCATGATCTTGATTGAATCTTATATTTAGAATATTTCTTTCGCCCATTTTAATAAGTCGACACGATTTTTCCAATTGAAATTGATTTTTGATAGTAATTAGTATTATTATGTACCACTTTGAAAAATATGCGTATTATTTATTTGATTTGTTTTGATTTTTCTTTGTTTTAATTTTTTCCTTGAACTTTCAAATTTTTTGAAGGTTATGTTGATACATTTGTCGACTGTAGTCGATATGGCTCTTCTTTTTTGACTTCACCTTTTTCAACTCAAGGATATTAAACACTACATAGGATAGCCGATCCTCATAAGACCTGTGTAGTTCATTTCTCAAGCCTCCCATCAGATCAAAGTACCAGTGATGACGTACGTACTGCTGCCAGTCCGAGAAAGTGGTTCCCCGTACTATTATTTTTTGATTCCATAGCAATTATTGAAACATAAGGCGATTTCGCCCCAGATTTTCATCGGCAGTTTCGTAGGCGAATGGTTAACCAATTGGTACGTGAGTGACGTAGATCAACAATCTCATCCGAATTCAGTGAATAGGGCGTTTGGTACATTTTTGACTTTGACATGTTTATTTGGACATGAGACAAAAATAGACAGAAAGCTACCAAATCTCCACTACCCAGTCAAACCGCGGTATAGCATCTGACAGACCAAAGCGCCTACCAAAGTTGCCGTGACGGCATATTCTTCCATCCGAAATTGATTGGTGCCCCTTGACAGACCAAAGTGAGGCGGAATCGCCTATATTAAAATACAATAATGAATTTTTCCTACAGCCGTGCGGAAAAATCGATTTTCCGCACTGATATGCGTGCGGAAAATGAGTTTTCCCGCACTGTGCGGTAAAACTTTTTTTTTTGACATATCCAGTGCGGAAAAAGTTTTTCCGCTCGGCTGTCAGTGCGGAAAAAACTTTACCGCACTGATATGTCAAAAAAAAAAAGAAAAATTTTACATTTTTTTGCCTGTAGGAAAAATATTGTACCTAACACTTGCGGAAAATATTTTTCCGCACTTGTTAGGTAATAGTATATTACATTACGAGTGTAGAAAGTGACAAATTTCACACGAGTGTTTTTTCGCGCGAGGCGATAGCCGAGTGCGAAAATCACACGAGTGTATATGAAAGACGCTTTCTTACGAGTGATGTACACCATTTTTCCTACGACCAGAAACCAATTTACATCAATTTTCTCTTATTTTATTTCTTTTCATTTTCAACACACGTGCTGAAACTACTTTCAATCCACGTATTGAAAGTAAATTGCTCGGTTAATTGTTATGTCAATCACAAATAATGTCAACAGTATTTTCCACACGTGTGCTGAAAGTACTTTTAGCACGAGTATTGAAAGTACTTTCAGCACGCGAGTGATATTTAGCGCTTTCCAAAGAACCAGCAAGTGCGAATTTTGTAATTTTCGTATGTGGTCGTAGGAAAATAGCTATTGTGGCCCGTCAACCAGTCGAAAATGTTGACATTTCTTGTCAATCGCAGAAAAACATTTTTTTTTAGGTCTCATTTGCAGCTTCCTCTTTGCCTATTATATTAATCAAAATTGAATAATAGTATTTAGGACCGGCTTATTCATCTGCAGATAAACTTGCTGGTAATTATCTGCAAGATAAATTTGCCGTTCTATAATTCTGTTGGTCGACGGCGACGGATTACTGGCTGACCAATAGGATTACAGATTCCGTTTTTCGCCGTCAGATTTTATTCCTGACAGTTTATCGTTTATCAGAAGGTGAATAAACCGACCCTTAACATCATAAATGTATATTCTAAAGTACGACCGCTGGGCGCTGGCGCAAACAGCTAACTACAAAGTTGATGACGTAGACAACGGTGCAACACCATATGACCTTGATTTCAAAAATCGAGGGTGAAGAGCAATCTTCAAGGTTGTTCAAACAGCAGTATTCAATGGCAATAGTTTTATTCCGTATTCCTTTCAAGAGTTCAAAACACTCGAGCTACTCGCTTCGGTGTTTGTCGCCCCCAATTTGAAAGGAACAGATGCGTAGTGCAACAAACACTTTTCGAAAGGAATAATAAGGGCGTAACGCCCCGGAGCTGTTTCGGAGCTCCTCCTAGGGGTAAAAAGAATACAACTAATGTTCTTGATTTTAACCAGCCATCTCTTCTTTTTTTTTAGTTTCCACCGACTATGGCCACCACCGGGCACCGACCACCTGTCATTACTGTCAATAGAAAAAAAATAAAAGATAATGGAATTTTGTTTTGTATTGTATTTTGTATTTAAAGTTTGTTCATATTAATATTAAATATTATGAGTTAATTATAAATTGAATTGTTGTACTACAGCAGAGGTAAGCAAATTTCAACCGTACAGAATATGCAAGCAGCAAAAAGCTAGGGAAAAAAATGATTTTTTACTGTGCGCCCCCATTGAGTGCCCTTATTTTTCTAGTCCTGCCCTTCCAACGTTCCAATATAATAAAACTTATAAATTGTAATTGGAATTGATTTTTGATAGGATGATGTTATCACTCAGGACCGGTTTATCAGCGGACAGTTATCTTGTTTAGGGCCAAATTATGGACCAACTGGTAAGTGTCTGGTTGTTACCTAGCAGGTACTTTCTATTCTCTAGTGCAAAGGAAGTACCTGCTAGGTAACAACCAGACGTTTACCAGTCAGTCCATAATTTGGCCCTTAGACCTACAGGTTATGTTAAGGTGCTTCACTATTTGGCATTTGCATTGTTGTCAGCTCAAGTTCACAATCAAGATTTTTATTCAAAAGAAATCTCATGAAATATTTATACTGTTATCAGATGTCTTCTAGTCTCTAGCAGGGCGGTGTTGTAATGTACCCTGTGCTTGTCTACATTTTCAATATTTTCCACCCACACCCCACAGCTATCTCACCTGTTTGAAGTGATACTGTCAGAAATGTCAAATGTGAAAGTTGTAGGGTCTGTTCCCACAGGAGTCTTTGACAATTTGCAAACTGTCAGTAAGTATCGCCCATTCAGGTTTTCAATGCAATCGTTCCAAGATTAATTTTTAACTCAGCTGAGCGATTGTTTCTGACAGGTTGCAAACTGTCAGAGACTCCTGTGGGAACAGACCTGTAGTTGGTTGTAGACAAAAAGTTTTGAATGAAGTGAGTTACAAGTATACAGGGTGTGTCACAAACAGTGTTGCCAATATGCTGGTGATTACCCGATTTGCGGGTAATTTGACTGAAAGCAGGGTAATTTTCTAACATTTTATAAATCGGGTAATTTCAGGTAATCGAGACTCCTAGTTTCCTAGTTTTCTGCCACCTGCTCCGTATAAGTACTGAAAAAATGTCCTTTTCCTTGCTTCGGCTTTGCAACTTTATAACACCCTATAAAGTTGCAAAGCCGCATTTGTACTGCTTTTCTTGTTTCAAGCAGATCTCAGCAGCAGATCAGCGTCCACTTGTTCCATATAAGCTCATAAATAGCTGCTCCTAGCAAATCTTCCTGATTTTTCGAGCAGGTAGAGCAAGTACAATAATGAGTATCCTATTAGCATCATCGATTGGCATGGCACGAAGCTTTTCTCTCCTATATCCTTAAAAAAATTAAGATACCTGAACCCCTAAAATACTAGTTTTTTGCTTAGCGCTGTTTTCGAATATGCCCCTTTCTCCACCACGAAAACCTGGCAAAACCACTGCAAACGCGAGTAAAGATCGGGTAATTTCAACTAGAAACTCGGGTAATCTGACTTTACCACATTGGCAACACTGGTCACAAAAGTGTGGCAAAGCCATGTTAAACTTTTTTAAATGGAACACTCCATATATAATTGACCCATTCGATTAGTCTTTCAAACTGGATTCCAAATATACTTATTAGGTTTTTTGGGTTTATTCCTAATAGTCCGGAAGAAAAAGAGAGCACCAACAAAATATAAAGGTAATAATTCAAGTAAAAAATCCATGTTATTTCTTCAAAATGAGATGTTCAGAGGCTGAACTATGAGGAATAAACCTAAAAAACCCATAATATTTAGGATCAGGTTTGAAAGGCTAATCCAATATGTCAATAATTTATGGAGTATTCCATTTAAAAAAGTATAACTTGGCTTCGCCACACTTTTGTGTCACACCCTGTATACTGTATACTTGTAGATAACTTCATTGCAAAGTTTCTAATATTACTTACAACTTTCACGTTTCTGGGTATCTCTTCAAACAGCTAAGATAGGTTGAAGTATTGCAGAATTGAAGTATTGTACTACGAAGTGGAAACTTAGGCTGTGGTCCGAATATAACCAGGTTTGTGGTTTTGCGGTCCGAAAGTAATCAAATTATTCTGGTTCCTGGAAAAGTGGTTACTTTTAGACCTCGGTTTCCTGAAATCTGGTTAACCAAATGTCAAAATAGTTACCGGCTATCGGATGTCGGTTTTATCTATAAATTCTGTCAATTATTTTTTATTTCATACTCGCGTTCACCAAGTAACCGGAATTTTCAGTTACCATTTGTCAACCGATTTGGTTACTTTTGTTAAGCCTTAGTATAGGTTATTTTCAAATGGGGTTGTCATATTCGGATATTTAACAACAATAAAAGAAAAGTGTCACTGGTACTATAAATTCAAGAAGATTGGCTAAAAAGACATTGAGGGCTGAAATAAATGTCATCCCATCCTAACAATTTCATTTGACGATTTTAAGAAATTGTCAATTTTTCTTAACTACATCAGTTTTAAGCATACAGGGTGTATCAAAAAAGCGTAGCAGAGCAAAGTTATTATTTTTTTTTAATGCGGGGCACTATGTATATTGAACACTAATTTGTTAGTCTCCTTCAATGATACCTATATGATTTGATATGTTTATCTCCAATATTTATAGGGAAAAACGTGAAAACCCTATCCAAGGTCTCATAGTGAAATAGATATTACCTAACAAGTGCGGAAAAAAACATTTTCCGCAAATAATGGATACTTCAGATACTTGTCACTTATCAGAGACAAGGCCCTGGGCCTGAATTCCGAACCCACGATTTGATAGTATAGGTAGGATAGTATTATCTATATAAAATATTTAGATAGACAAAGACAATACTATCGAATCTTGGATTCAGAATCATAAATCAGAGAGAAAATTGACGTCTTTAAGACGTTTTTTTTTTTTTTTTGGTTTCTCTGCAAACATAAAAAAGACGTCTCTAGGACTTCATATACTATACGGGCTGTGAATGTCCTATATTAGGTCTGTTCGCACAGAAATCACAAACCAGAGTGAATTTCATTGGTTGAAACCTCAATTGAAACCAGTTTTCTGACTGTTTTTAACTAAGGTCTTTAATTAATGAAATTGTCTTTGACTGGTTTGTGATTTCTGTGAGAACAGACGTAATGCCTCAATATTGATAAACTAATAATGTACGTACAGGGTACGGGTTCAGACATCACAATGCACTACACTTTGAGATGTATGTTCCTAAAATCCGTGTTTTTTCTAGTTAAAATGGAGAAACATGACTTAATTTGCCCCCAGTGCCAAAGATTCACCTCAGCACCCTCAAACAGGCTTGTACAGGATACTTGTGGCCACAAAAAGTGCCGTACCTGCATGTTAGAGGATATAGATAACTGTAAACAATGCCTAACACCAAATAATACATTGGAAAACAATATAATTACTGATAATCATACTGCAGTAATACATTGCAATGGAAAGGCCAAGTTTAATAATCAAAATAATATTGTTAGAGAGGAGGAAATTAACAATATTGAAGACAATAACCAAAAAGTTAAAGAAAAAGCAATAACAAACAAGAAAAAGTTTCCTATTCCACCACACATAAGCGTTAACTCGGATCCTTCAAACTACTTATGCACGATTTGTAATAAAACATTTGTCACAAAATCTCACATAAAATATCACAAATATTGCAATGGAGAACTGAAGCCGTTCAAATGCGAAATTTGCAACAAAGAATTCATCCTAAAGATCCAACTTCAAGTGCACATGTGCAAACACACCAACACTAAACCTTTCAAATGCACTATTTGTCCCAAAGCATTTATGGAAAACAGTAAACTGTCCAGGCATATGCTGTTACATTCCTCAGGCAAAATGTACATTTGTCCAGATTGTGCCAAATCCTTTAAAACCAGAGAGTCTTTGAGGACGCATTGTTTGATTCATAAAAGCGAGAAACCTTTCGCTTGCAAAGTTTGTGGGACTAAGTTTAGTAATTCGTCAAATTTAAAGAAGCATTTAGTGTTACATTCAGGTAATTTAAATTTTTTATAAGGCTTGCTGAAATTAATTTAATTAAATTTAAGATGAAAAAGAGCATATGTGTGATCAGTGTGGCAGAAGATTTAAGTTAAAATGGGCCTTGTCAGTGCATAGAAAATCACATTTGAGCTTGCGACCCCATAAATGTGGTGTATGTTCCAAATCGTTTGTGTATCTTAAGGATTTGCAAAGGCATTGTTTAATACATACAGGTAAGGAGTTGGGTTTGTTTTTTTTTTTTTATTTGGTTTGTTTATTTTTTCTTGTCTGTAGATTCTCAAGAGTACTCCTGCGGTATTTGCCTGACGAGTTTTCGACGCAAAGACAACTTGCACCGTCACATGAAAAACACTCACCCAGGTAAGAAGGGCGATATAATAAAAAATCCTCTGAAAGTTTCAGAAATACCAAAAAAATTGGTTGTCATTGATAATCCCAATGCTGTAAACGTGATAACCGCATCGCCGGCGCTTACTACTAAATGTAACGCCGTTACGGTGGTACAACAACCAACTATATCTACTGATTCTAGGCCCACGGGATCTGTCATCAACGGACCGATTAAGCTCGCGTTTAAGACGCCGGCTTTCAAAAGCCATTACAACATTACGAGGTATGTAAATTGACTTCCTGTATTGTTAATTGGCAAAATTGTTTTTTTTTTCTAGAGGAGACGAATGCTTGGCAGCTCCTCAAATTGCGTCGAACTTATCATTGGTAGGACCAGTGGATATGCCACATTCCGCCACAGAGATTTTGTCTGCTCAACCGCCTGAACTAATTTTTCCAAGTCCGCCACAAAATGTTTCGTCGTTGTCCAGCGTGCATCATTATGAGACTTCGTTTCAAAACAAAAAACACGCTATGATTAAGAATATTAAGTTCAAAGTGCCTGAACAGTATACAAACTCGTTCAAAGCCATTTCGACTAATAACAATGTCAGTAGTGATGATAGTGAATTTCAAACAAGTGTTATAGTGAATAGTAGTAATGTAAATAACTCTAGTGACATTCATTGGCGTAGGAGGACTTCGCAAAATCTTGTGCTAAAGAACTAAAGACTGTACGTTTTTTTTTTTTTTGAAGACTGTTATTTTATTTATGAGACAAATATTATTATTTTTTAAATTATTTGTTGTTTTATTGAAACAAATTTGTCGATATAACGTCGATTTATTAATAAATACATCAAAAATATTACAATATAAAAAATTTATCAAAAGGCAAAAACATTCAGGCGATATAATCACAAAATTTGCAGTCATTTTAGGTACACATAAGGGACAGTTTCATTTAAAAATCAGACAGAAATTTCGAAATATTGTTCTTTGAACTCCTTATAACTAAATCTAATAAACAAAGCCTAGTGTACTTAGGAACAAAAAAAACTACATAAACCTGGCAATAAAATCATTTTCTCTTAAAAACTCAAACACTGTTGTCAACTTAAACCTATGTAACATCAAATATCTATTCCTAAAATACCCACAAATAAATTTTTGGAATGTAATTCCATCTCCGAACAAGAACAAGCACTTAAGATCATAATGTTGATCTCTCAATATTGATTGCTCCTGTTTGATTCAATTCTCTTTGTCAATTCAGCAATTATTTCCCTATAAATAAGCGGATCCATGTTTGTACCGAGCATCAGCAGCAACCACCAATCACCCAAGTCGATTTTGCGACACAAGGCTTCGCAAGCCTCAATGGGAATGCTTCTGTTTTTCGCGTGAAGAATTTTCGGTCTGATTTTGGGTGCGGCAATTATCACGATTCTGTAGGTCACCAAAACTGTAAGCATGGTTAGAAGGATCATGAACCAAAACCATATGAAAATATAGGTTTTTTCATTTACTATGTTCAAGGGAAGGATGCAGATGGAGTCGTGTTTTTGAATACTACCAGAAGCACCTAAAGTTCAAAATAATATGTAAAAATTAGTTTTTGGAAAATATAATTTTACTTGCCGTATTTGTGGAAAATGCATTTTGTCACCCTAGGGAAAACATAAACCATAGGATCGACTCTGTCTTCTTGTGCTTGTTCTGAATAATTCATGACTCTGAGGCCGTAGGTTAAAAATTCTCCATCGAAAAATTTGTTCATTGCCCACATTTGTAGAATAATGTTGATGAGGCATAGGCATTCGCAAAACCAATATCTTAAAGCATATAGGTTGTGCCTCTGAAATAAACATATAGTAAGTTTCCAATGACTTGGCATTTTTGGTAATCAAAAAAACTGATTTAGAAAGTACAAGGATTTAGTAATTTGTCATGCAATTACGGTTTTGGTTGTGTAAGTATGTAATTATTCACCTTTACATGCTTTGCCAAATAATCCAATATCACTTCTTTTTTGGCAGTTTTTTCATTTTCGTGACAAACCCCAATGTTAAGTCCCATAACTAACATCCGCATCAGGCCACCTTCGCAGGCGTCCCACAAAACTTTTGGTGTGTAACATGCTATAGCCTAAAATATAACTTTTCAATACATTATATTGTTGAATAGTAAAATAGCTTTACCTGAAAGAATAGTACGAAACAAACCCACTGATAGTAGGTGTAGAATTTTTGAGCATCTTTATCACTGAAGTCGTTTCCCAAACCGGGATGAGCAACTTCTGTTCCCACCTAAAAAAAAAAAATTAAATAACAGCAATTATTCAAATAAAATGACCACATTGTGTAATCACATTTGCCACTATTATAACGAATAATTAGAATTTTTAAATCAAGGTTAAATGACGTGATATGTCCGCTAATTTGATAAAAATGAATGAATTAATTTATTCACCACAGTTTACTTGGATTCTTGATACGGAAGATCATTGTTCTGAGAATTATTATTATTATTTCACAAAGCAATGCAATCTTTTAATAAAAAAATGTGGGTTGAGTTAGTAACCTCGATCTACTATGGACATTTTTGATTCATTGTAATTATGGCGCTAATCTAATGTTAATTATCTGTTTAAAAAAAACATTAACAAACAATGGATGTTGTTGTTATTGGTAATGTTACACCATATATCTGACTTGACTGTTAATTTTTGATTTTTGTCGAGTGGGCACTTAATTTATTGCTGCTACTTGGTAATGGTAAAAAATATCCTATTTCAAGAGCAATAACCACTGTGTGCCACACTGTTATTATAGACTCGAGTCAGCAGAATTTATTTTTGATTAGTAATTCAATTTCGTTAACAGTGTATGGTATGAGTGTATTATTCTTTATGACGGCTGAAAGAGATAATGTATAGAGGGACATGTGAAAGAAATTAGGATAAGACTTTGTACTTGCAGATAAAAGCAAGGACACAGTTGCAAAGTTCATTTATTTTTGCATGTCTATGCTTTTTGATACTTAACATCTTTGTTGGAAACGATTTAGTTTCATTTTATTCAAGTTTTAAGTTTCAATATTGTTTTTTTGTTTAGCAGATTTGAAATAAAATTTTATTAGGGTCAGAGGTAGAGAGTTTTTGACAAAGTAGGTTTCAATCGATAAATAAAATTGTCAAAGTAAAAATGAATTCAAGGCATGATTAATTTGAAATATTGTTCAGACTATTTCAATTAAACAGCCAAAGTTTCGATACTGATTATGTTCCATCTGCAGGGTCAGATTAATAATTATAATTGCAGTCTGTGTCAATGCATTGGTTGTTTCATTATACCAAGTGTGGACTGAATATTTTTCCATAAACTTCAAATTTCAAAGAGGATAATCAGTAAAGTGATTTGAACTAAAATAAGTGAACTTTTGTTGAACTGAAACAGTGGTTTTGACATTGAAAAACAAGTCCACTAGGGAGATTTTTTTGGAACATAATGTTCTATTCGAAAATTAGTCAAGATACCACGGGAATTTAGACTTTGCTTCTGGACTCAATATTTGAACTTAATTTTCAAAAAAGAAAGATAGAGAGTATTCTAGGGTAAATATACGACAGCGAACAGCAGAAAAAGAGCAAGTTATTTGAATATTACTGGACTTCGTGAAATACAGGGTGTCCTTAAATAAACTTCCTTTTTTTTGTTGGATAAAAAGACCCTATTCAATAAATCCTGAAGATATGAAGTCCCTCTAATTGCTTGAAGTATTCTTCAGAAGCTTTCGAGGGTGATTTGATAGACATGTTACATGATTTTTTTTGCATACACTTGAGAAAAAATTCATAATTCCATTTCTGAGCCTGAGATCCATTCGCAGTTTGTTCTGTTTGACAAAAAGACCCTTTTCAATAAATCCTGAAAGTTTTAAGTTCCTATGATTGCTTGAAGTATTTTTCAGAAGCTTCCAAAGGTGTTTTGATAGAAATTTCACATGATTTTTTTGTATCTAAGACAGAAAAATGCATAACTCCAGTTGATTCTATAACAGATAATTGAGAAAAATTATACATTTTTGTAAAGTAGAAAAATCAGGCTTTCTGACGACGACAGAATATAAAGGGTGTTTCATTAAGAATAAGGCAGTAATTTAAAAAAAAATCGCATGTTTGTAAAACCAAATAGGTATCAGCAAATTTTAGGATTTGGCAATACTGTGAAAAAAACCCTTCAAAAACTTCTTATACTCCTAGCACAAATCGCATCTCGTTTTCAAGATATTCATCTGCAAAACGGGTCAGTTTATCTAAGGTCACACTGTATATTCAAGACAATAAACAAAAAGAACGAAGACACAAAGAAAGACAAGAAAAACAGGACAAAAATTTTAAGTTTCAGTGAAAATGAATTCAGACGGAAGGAACATGACTCAAAAGAATAATAAATTCAATAATGAAGAAGTACCTACATGAATAAGTTGTAACGATTCCTCAGGAAGTTGGAAGTTGTAGCGCAGCTTTAATCAAAGCCATAGAAATTCAAGCTGCCTATAAAATATCCAAACCAGAAATCACAAATTTGTCAATACAAGAAGAAAAAGGTAACCAATAAGGGAAGTTTTGAAAAAAATGCATAACTTGTCATAGCTAATTTTTCTGCTGCCGTAGCCAAACATTTTGGCTACATGGGGGACAGCCAAGATCTTTACTACCGCCGAAAAGATAACTTTACTGGCACCGTTTATTTGCGGTAGCAAAGTGACTTTATAAAGAATTTACTCACAGTTTCTACAAGGTCACTTTGCTGGCATAGAAAAGCTACTTTGCTGTCGTAGGAAAGTAACTATGCTGTCCTAGAAAAGAGGTTATATACCCTCAAAAACATCCTTTTTTGCTATAGATTGTTAAGACAGAAAAGATATTTATTGTTGTTATTAGAAATGCTTCCTGAAATAGGAAAGCGTTTGTCTCAGAACAAAAAATTTCTTGCCAGAATCAGCCAAGTGTTTTATTAGCCATGGGAAGTTATTTGTCTCACCAATAGCAAAAATATTTTGCTGGAAATCTTTGGAAATAATGTAGTAGCGCGTCCATCATAACAAAACCAGGAGATAAACAAACTCTATTTAAACCCCTAAACTTTCATTACCTGATCTGAAATAATGTCAATTAATGAAAAGTTTGGCGCTAGAGTTGTTTCTACTAGTTTTGATGGATGCGCTGGCACCATTTCCAAAAAGATTCCCAGCGACCGACACTCGACTTGACTCGACAGCATCCACGATCCACACCGTACGGCGTTAGCTAAAGTCTGTTTTTTTTTTTTAAAGATAAAAGTCAAAATGACATTATGTTGGCAATACAATGTAAAATTGTCAATGCTTTCAAATTTTTTATGTAAAAAAGGCTTGTGTTGCCAACATAGTTACTAAATTTTTGACTTGGGGAATTATCTTTAAAAAAAAAACAGATTTTACTAAACTAAAATGGAAGAAAATGAACATGAAACATATTTTATCGGTTATTTTTGGACCCGAAGAAATCACGGAAATGTCCGAACGGTATTTTTAGTTAAGTTATTTGGCTGGGGTAGCAAAAAACATTACTGTAACAATCAACAAAAATTACAGGAATTTTTTTTTGCTGCAACAGTAAAGTATCTATCTATCTTAGAAAAGTTCTATTTCGGAGAAGCAGAAATATTTTCATAAAATTTTAATTTTGCTATAACAGCAAAGTTTGGTTTTGGAATAAGAAATATCTTTGCAGTTTCAATAAAGTAGTTTCAGCAAAGTGGTCTTTTCTGTAGAAGCATTAAATAACATTGCTACCTCTAAAACATTTTCCACTATAACAGCTAAAAAAACCAGCAAAGAATTTTCTCCTGGGACTTTTCTCAGTGTATCAACTGACATCAATTTACCCGGAGATTAGATTTAACCGGAATTTTTAATCACGGATTAACTTCAAAGTTGGTGTCAAATGATAGTTTATGAAAATCTAAGATAGGAATGTAAAATCGGTTTTCCTCTAAAATTAACCGTTCAGGTTTTACAGCCTGTCAAAGTTGCAAAAAAATCAATTTTCAATTGTCAATATTTCCGAAACAGTTGAAGATGAGGTATATGATATTGTATATGAAATATGTCAAAAATTTTCCACAGAATCCATAAATGTCATAATATACAGGTTGATTCATTTGAAAAAACAAAGTTGATAGCAGCGGAGCTATTTTTGAGACACCCTGTATAATAAAAAATATATCAAAAAATTTCAAACAAAAAAACAAAATTGACGTGCCTGAGCGATTTTTCAAAAATTCTACCGTTTTCAAAATAATAAATTTCTCCGTTACTTTACGGACACACTGTATATACAAAACTTAATATTTGTATAACTTCCGGAATAATCATATTTGGGCGAAATTAAAAAAAAGTAACGATTTTTTTTCGATTTCCTACAGTTTGCAATAAACAATAATCAATTTAATTTTCCATGCAAGTACCCTATTGTTGAATTACCGTCACGATTCTGTGCAAAACCAAAAATTTCTGTGCAGAATCCGATTCTTGTCATGGTACGGATTTTGCGCAATGTTGGAACTAATGACATTTAATCCTTTTTTTTTTTTTTTTAATCCTGGGAATCGGTCACATAATGAAAACACTAGCTTGTAATTTGTAACGTTTCGGTTTAATTAACCATCATCAGACAATATTTTTCTAAAAAAGATCAAAAAATATTTTTACATAAAATTCTTTTTTTTTTTTTGATTTTGGACAATTCTACATTATAAACATAAAAATAAAAAACAATACAATCATAGGTACAGTACAAACTAATTAGGTGCCACATTTAAAAAAAGACAGATATTAACATTATTTCTATATTTAATTATTATGTGGAAGAGAGTTACGAGTAACACGAGAGAAGGATGAAAAGTATGTATATATATATATTTCATTTAATTTTTTTCTAAAAATAGTGAAGGTTTAGGAAAAAAAAATTTCGAAAGAAAAAGAAATAAAAAATATAGCAATGGAATTCTTACCAGCTATTGTATAATCGTAGTCTACCAATTGTGTATTCAAGTATTATTGTAATTAGATCATCAAACTAAGTTGTTCCATGATTTAATTTTTCTTTTTCATGTTTTAAAAAATCTTTATAATTTATTTGATTTTAACCAGTTCGACCTTTCGCAGTTCTAGTTGATGTTGCTATGTAAATAGGTGGAAGTGTTTGTTTCTTATCAGTCAGGGTTTTTTTTTTTTTTTTTTTTTTTTTTTTTTTTTTTAG